AGCAAAATTTAAAAGTTAAGCTAGCATCTTTTCTTGATTCTCTTTTCTGAACAAGAAATCTTAGTTTCAAAATTATTTCTTGAGGTCTTGCTGAAGACTGAAACTATGAAATAGCTTTTAAATGTCCAAAGACAATAAAATTGATAGTAAAAGACGAAATGCATGAAAGCTTTACTTGCCATCTCCTCTTTACTCAGAGGTATATAGATTCACAAAACATAGCATCTGAAGTACAGAAGGTTGTTCATATTATATATTTACTTACACATATTACATACTACTTTGTTGGTAATAGCATTGTTCTATAGTACAACTCTTTTCTTATGTTTCACTAGACATACATATATGATATATCTGATAGTTGCCTGAATGAAAAAGTTTCCACTGAACAGTAATCAATATAATTTTTCAGAATAAAAGATTTCAGTACATTACTAGTAAGGACTGAAAATAGGAAATTACCTGCCATTGGTGTTTATAATTATGTCCCAAATGAAGTAACAATGTTATAATCATGTCATTTTTTAACACTGAAGATTGAATTAGAGTGTAATCATTTGAGGCCAGTCTGTCTGCTAAGAGTGAGCTAGTTTGTGGTTAATAATAATTGACCTTTTATACTCTCTTTATTGTCATTTAATAATGCCTCACAAAAAGTACACAAACGTAGGTCTTCAACATTTTCACTGATTTGAGAGCAAAAATAATAGTGAAGATGCCAACAACCTTTTCTTAAAAAGAAATACCCTTCATTTTTAGATAACATATCATAGTTTCTGTTGCATTGTTACAATGTCCTTTCTTTGAAGAATTATGGTGAGAACAGAGGTGGCAAGGGATATTTACAATTGTCCTTATTTTGGAAAATGAAAGGTTGGCCACCTTATGTTATTGTTGTTATTGCTATTTTACTAGTCCAAGAGATTTTTTTTAAAAGCTTGAAAATTGAAACTTCCAATTAATTATTCAGCTGCCTTTAAATGTTGAAATAATGCAAATAACAATAGTTTCTAAATATCTTCAAGATTCGGATAGTTGTTCCTTGGAAAATTTTCTAAAATTCTATAGAATTAATGAGGGCTTTATTGTTCTTTCAGCCACAAATGAACTGGTGACATATTTAATTAGAACAAATGACATAAGAAAATCATGATATGATGTTTTAAATCTAGCAAAGAAATATATAAGTATAGAAGTAAAAAAAAAAAGAGTAAACTTCTTACTTCTTATCTAGGAGATAAAACTAGAGAAGGAACAGAAAAATATAAAAGAAAACTTTCCCACGATTCACTTGTTAAAAATGTAAGACAGATTTTATTCGAGCTACTGCAGTTGGGGAGAGAGAGATACTAGTATAGAACTGAGTTCTACTTCAAATACAACATGGAGAAAATGGGGATTTATAGCCAGTGGACAGAATGTAGGGGTTAGTGAATGGAAAATTTGTTAAGAGAATATGTCAAAAATAGGGCAATTCTTGCTAAATGGCCTAACAGGATTCTTGCAAAAGCTGACCCAGGACTTAGATATCAAGGGATAATTTGATCAGATGGCAAGGGTGGGCAGATTCCTGCTAACCTGACTTAACAGGTCAAGATTTGTTTAAAAGAAGGCTCAGAGTAGCCAAATTAAAATTAAAAGGGAGTCTTTGCCAATGTATTGGTCAGAATCTTAACATAAAAGAAACTAACACATGTGATTTTAAAAACAAATCACATTTTAAAAGACTGACCCAAACCAATGTGTTTTCTTTTGTTTTGTTTGTTTGTTGTCATGTAACAAGTTAATCTTTTTGGCTGAGAATAAAATAAGAACATTCACTTTAGCAAACTTTTATTTTGAATCAAGCAAAGCTGTATTTTAAAATCCTTTAAATTCTTCTTGGGGTGTATCATGACATTAATTTTAACCAGAACAACTTAATTCCAGACTCAAGATCTCTTCTGATAGATGTGATTTCCCCTCCTCCCCCCAGTATTGAGATGAAAGGATTTAGAAAAATGCTCAAGAATAAATATCCTTAATAGGGCTGAGACAATCCAACCAATGGCAATTACTACAGTTTACTAAAAGCATTTTTTTAAGAGGGGGAGAAGATAAGGGCACTTGCAAATCTTATTTTTTAAAATGTGTTAAAATCATTAAACTTCACACTATATTTACTTGATATGTTAGTAACAAACAACAGCAGCAGATCCTTTTTTATTAGAACTATCCAGGGGGATTCTCTAAATTATCTCTTTAGATGTGGCTTATCCCACCATCTGTTACTGCTGCAGAAGAAAATTAACATTGAATTAAAGCACCCTTTTGTGCATAATCCTTTGAAGCCAACCAGGATGCTCAGAAAAATAAGAACAAACAACACGAATAAACACTTATTAAGCATCCATCACTAGCTAGTGCTATTCTAGGTGGTAGAGGGTCCCCTCTCTTTCACTACTTATAGCCTAAAGGGAGGGACAAATATTACAAAATTATATGCCATTTTGTCAAGTGCTACAGCAAGGCATGGGCCTTGTTAAGTGCTGTTGTAACATACAAGAAAAGTGGCGGTCTCACTTCTTGGGATGAAGTGAGGGTGGAAATATGGGCATGGAGATGGGAGGGTGTGAGTGTGTGCATGAAGCAACGGAGAAAGGTGGTAGAGGAGGAGCAGCGGGAGTGGAGGAGAGAAGGTGCAAGAAGTGATACAAGTGCATGGAGGAGGAATTATCCAGGAGAAAGGAGGGGGATTGGGAAGGGTATTCCTAAAAGAAGGAACATCAAGTGCAAAGCCCCAAGGGCAAATGTGAATGTGTATTTAATTTAGTATGTCAGAAAAGTGCTTCTTAAGCTTTAATGGGTCTGTGAGTTACCTGAGTTTAATGTCAAAAGGCAGATTCTGACTTTGACATTAGTACCAGGGAGGGACTTGAGTTCCCGGGTGGCTAACAAGCTCCCAGGCGATGTCAATCCTCCTGGTTCACAGACCAAACTTAGAGTTACATCCTATAGAGAACTCAATTCCCAGGCACCGGATGGTTCTCTGGGGAAATGGCTGACTATAGCATAAGCCATTGTCATTGCTGATGGTGACCTACTTAGTCACACTGCGAGGATCATTAATGATGGCAGCACAGTGGCCACTTAGCGCCTTACTCAGAAATGACATTTCCTTTTATTTCCTTCCTAAATTCTTTATTGTTGAAAGTATTAAGTATGCCCCCTGCTTCCCCCATTGACCTCTCCCAGCCTGCCCCTACCCCCAAGCACAGGAGAATTGACATTTTTTTGTAAGAGAGCATACCTCTCTTCCCTTATTTCTAAAGTCAACATTTCAAATTCTGCTTTTGTATCTTTCCCCCCCACATTGATCTCCTTCTTTATTGAAACCCATTTAGCAGTTTCAGCATGAACTGCTATGAAAGGATGTGCTTAATAAATATTGTCAACACTTGTCAAAATCAAAGGAAAATATCCCAGGAAGAGCTTGCAGCCTTATGCATTAGGAGCAAGTTATGAGGCTGTATGGTGTCTTGACAGCAGTTCTTTTCATGTCAATTTGAACTCATTTTAATGAGTCCCCGAGTTTCGTGTTGCTGCCATCTCTCCTCATCCTGTAGCAGCCAATGTTCTGCTTCTCTAGAGACTAAGGAAAGCGTCTTTGCAAATACTCTAAAAATTCCATCTTCATCATAAAGGTGTGAGAAAAGACTGGGATGTAAAGTCACCTACTGGAAATTGACACCCATGATCTAAAAGATAAGTTTATCTGCATATAGTCTGGGATATCAGGCATCATGGAATTGATTTATGTGTTTCTGGAGACTAGAAGATGGTTTCACTTTGAATTTTGGTGCAATGGAGTTGAATCACATTTGTTATCAACTAACACACTGATTTTAGTTCCATTGTGTGACTCTACTGCCTCATTTAATTCTCACAATATGCAAATATATGTTTTAAAAATTATTTTATGAATGCTATACAGTCTTAGCTTAAGAACAAATGGAATGAGCCCTGAAGCCAAGCAACACTTTCAAATTCCCTTTCTTACCTTCATTCCAACCAGGATCTTACAATCATCCTATAGACAGAAGAATTTTCATACCAAGATATATGTTGGCAGTAGACTTACCCTTCCTTCCTAGCACCTAGAAAGCTCAGGATTTCTAAAACATTTTTATATATAACAATTACTATAGCACCTGGTCCACATGAAGTCATATACAATGAGCTTTGTGGGAAAACAAGAAATTTTCCATGTGTGATCTTTTCATTTTCTCTATGTTTCTATTACTCTTGAAAGTCCATGGTGTTTTCATGGTATCAGCCTTCCTTCTGATTATATATATTCCCATCACTTAAAAAAATAAAATGAGTAAAGACAGAAAGACATTATTGTTTTAACACTTGCTAAGAAAAGAGGTTAACAAAACAGAAATAGACTCATAGATGCAAAGAACAGACTGATGGTTGCCAAAGAGGAGAGGGTTTAAGGGGATTAGTGAAAGAGAATAAGGGATAAAAAAGTAAAAATTGGAAGTTACAAAGTAGTCATGGGAAATATAGTCATTAATAGTAATAACGGTATGGTGCCAGGTGGGTACTGAAAATATTAGGCGAAGCACTGTGAAGTCTGATGGTCTGGCCACTTCACTATACAACTGAAACTAATATAAAATAATACTGAATGTCAACTGAAATTGAAAAATAAATTTAAAAGAAGAAAATTAAATAAAATTGTTAGACAGATATTAACAGAGCCAGAAGTCAGGCAGATGCATTGCATTCACCTGACCACTGGGCTGCAGATTTATATTCACAATGGAATAGCTCACAGTGTTTCCCAATTACAAAAGTGAAGCCAACATAGAAATGTCAGCAGGAGGATTTGCAGCAGGCAGCCAGTCACCAATCTGAAAAGATTTTTTTATTAACTCCATTATGTTCCTTCCTTCCTGAATATGAAGAGGGCTCACTGGAATGTGTTCTCTTTTGTGTTTTGGCACAAACAGCAACTCGGAGTCACCACTGATGTGTGAGGTTCCAGCAGCCCAGCAGGGCGGGGCCAGCGGCACCTCAGGAAGCAGCCTGGGGAGCTCCATCACGGCCTGTAAGAAGGTAACCTTGTCCGACACCACCTTCTACTTCCCGATTGAACTTGAACACTAGTTTGACTTTTCAAGCACTTTTTCTAAAGCAGGAACCACAAAACAAGCAACAGAATACCCCACAATTGGTTTTCAATAACCCCTAGTGACATTAAAAAATGTAATTCTTGGAAATGATCAGAAACTCAAGCAGTTCAAAAAAGATGTGACTTGAAAATTATGCACGTCCAGGGCCACGATACCTCAATTCCAACTTCCTTTTAGTCCTTCTTCCCACATGTAGCAAGGGGACCAGCTCTTGGATCTCATTCAGAAAAGTCTTCACTGGCTTTGAATGGCACACCTTATATTAGACGCCTAAGTCAGTATCTTAAAAAATGCATGGCTCTTCTCCTTTTGATATTTTGTTAAAGAGAAGGGTGTGCTTGGCTTATTTATTAGGAGAAACAAAATTGCATGTTGTAGACTATAGACTTTTGCAAGAGTGAATGGACCTGGAGAGAATTATGTTAAGTGAAATAAGCCAGTCAGAGAAAGACAAGTACTATATGATTGCACTTACATGCATAATCTAATGAACAAAATAAACAAAATAGAAACAGATGCATAGACACAAAGAACAGACTGATGGCTGTCAGAGGGGAAGGGGCTGAGGAGCTCTGTAAAAAAAAAAAAAAAAAATGAAGAGATTAAGGAAAAAAAAAAAAGTACACAAACTTGTAAACACAGACAACAGTAAGGTAATTACCAGAGTGAAAGGTGGGTAGAGAAGGTAGAAGAGGGTAAAGGGGTGGTAAATGGTGATGGAAGGAGACTTGACTTTGAGTGGTGAATACACCATACAATATTCAGATGAAGTATTATAGAATTATACACTTGAAACCTATATAATTTTATTAACCAATGTCAACTAAATAAATTTAATAAAAAAATTAAAAAACTGATAAATCTTGCAGAGACATTTGCAAAAAATTGTCATTTAGACAACATAAAATCATCTACTTTAAGAACTTTATCTTGCCAGTAAATTCAACCTAAGACCCAGAAACTTAATTTCAGATTCAGTTATTCTCCTGGAAAAAATCAGGTCAGGTCTGGGAACTCCTGGAAGAACTGCTTGGGGCTGTATGTCTACTTGAAAAATTAAAACCAAAACTTGATCACTTATTCTAAAGGACTTCGTCAATCTATATAATTGATTTGAGAGAGAGAGAGAGAGAGAGAGAGAGAGAGAGAGAGAGAGAGAGAGAGAGAGAAACACAAACACTGATTTGTTGTTCCACGTATTTACGCATTCATTGGTTGATTTTTGTCTGTGCCCTGACTGGAGATCAAATCTGTAATCTTGGCATATCAGGACAACTCTCTTAAACAACTGAACTACCAGTCAAGGCCAGTACTTATATATTTTATACTTACAATATATTTACAAATATATCTACAAATAAGAAAAGTTTTAAATATGCTCTCACTTTCCACAATTATTTCTAGAACAACCAGTAGTAAGTTGAACCATGTGAAATTACCTTTTTTACAGGTCAGATAGATGAAATGTTTGACCATTTCAAATGGTTCAACCTAAATACAGTCAAAATTCAGTAAGATCTAGGACAGAGATGCAATGCTAGATCACAAATCCCACTATTGAAGCATTAAAGTGTAGTTTTGGAGATCATACTGGCTTCTTATGTAAAAAGTCAAACAAAATTCAAAACTCAAAAGATAATTATCTTTTATGTAAGATAAGTATCTCACAATAAGTCAAGATAGTATAAATTAGGCGAAAAACTAGTATTATGATCATTAAAAGCTAAGAACATAGCTACACCCTTGACCTGCAATAGATAGCAAAATTAAGCAGGAAAATAAACCTTAGTTTGGACTTTGGGGTATGATTAAGATTTGAATGAGTGAAAAGAATACCCAACCAAACTTAGAAAGAGCTGCTATAAACTAATAGAGAAGAACTCAATACTTTTGTGACTGGTAATATAAATTTTTCATAGTGCATTTCCGTCATTTCAAATATCCTCTTAGGCTTACATAATAATTGCATTTAAAGACAGTTTAGCTCAGTTGGTGTGGGTCAATGGTTGAGACTTGACCTATGAACCAAGAAGTCATGGTTTGATTCCCAGTCAGGGCATATACTCAGGTAGCAAGCTCAATCCCCAGTGTGGAGTGTGCAGGAAGCAGCTGATCAATGATTCTCTTTCATCATGGATATTTCTATCTCTCCCTTTCCTTTCCTCTCTAAAGTCAATAAAAATATATTTTAAAAAATAAAGACAGTTTAGTAGAAATATATGCCGTTCATCATGTATCATGTGTGTACTAATAGTTTTACTTCTTTTGGAAACAGTAGCTCAACAATATTTTCTTCTAGAACATAGACTCTCAATAAAAAAGATATGGACCATTGAATGATTCATTACCCTTATTTTATTACTGCAAGCTGATTTAAATGATTATGAATCAATTCTTCTTAAAATCTTGTAAATCACAGATAATGGGACTAGGAAAGTAAGGATCTATATTTGTGCTGTACAAAAAAGGCAAAAGGAAAAATGACAGTTATATCTTAGAAATAGCAAAGCTATCCGGCTGAATCACCACTCTTCACAGTCTATCACCTTTAAGAGTAACATGGATAATTGAAATCCATCAGTAATTCCCCAAACTCATTTCATGCAATAGCCTAATCTTCTTTCCCATCAAATCTTCTTATCTGAACTGACATGTTACTAATTCAACTGGTGGAAGAAATAAAAGAAGGGTCCAGAAGATAATACACTAGTCAAATAATCAGCCTTTGAAAAATTACAAATTGACTTCTTTTTTTTTTCATTTGCTTCCTGATTAATTGTTAAGGTTTTCAAAAATCCTATACAGATGCAATTGCTTCAGCTTTCTTTGTTACTGGAGAAATGTGGTCACCGGAATTTATAGCTATGAGAAGCTTTGGCATCTGGAAGGAGACACTGGTAGGCTTATTTGAAGGAGGAACTCATTAATATATATTTTTGACAGTGATGGACTGCCTTTCCCCAGGGTCAAAGTGACCACACCACTCCTTCACAATTTAATATTGTCTTGGAGTTTTATTAATAGACCCCTCTTTTACTCTCACAATAAGTTATATAGTTATCCAAGCTCTAGCCTCAGAATTATCTTTCCTTTACCACCTCTGCTTTTTCTAATATTAGGAAAGTTGTCAGACAAGTTCACACTGAAGTGTTAGTGCTTGTATGGCTTCGTATAGCTTTGACAAGTAAAATCTTAACTACTATTACTGATGAACTAGTACCATTGCATCCCTTAACTGACATTGATAACTGATCTTATTGAACTTGGACGTGACTTCAGCATTCTACCCATCATGAATCTCCAAGCAGACACAGTCAATCTATCCAAGTTGGACTGTAAGTTAACTCTGTGTCACTCTAATTTAATGGACATGAAACCCATGAAGAAATTTTAATGTGTGAAATATGATTCTCCAAAGTAATGCATTTAAAATTATAGAATTTCAAAATAGTACAGAAAATATGAAAGAGAAAGAGTTGCTAGTGGACCATGAACACTAGAGCCTTCCATAATATTCCTTGAATTGTAGCTCACAAACATTGCCTGATATTCCTCCTTCTTATGGAACCAGTCCTTCTTGTAAGACAATTCAGCCACCACTGTTAATGATGAACTAAGTGGTTATAAATGCTGTCCTTTTACATATGTTAAACACTAAGTGAAAGATCTTTGTATATCATTAAAATAAATAAAAATCTCTTATCTTTAGTGTGGCAGTTGGACATGTATAACAAACTTGAACTTGGAATTTAAAGACCTGGCTTACATTCCAGCTTTCTCTTCTTACTGTGTGATCTTAGATCAGTGACATAACTTCTCTGATTCAGATGACTTAGGGTTAGTGTGATGTTGAAGGTTTGTGTGTAAGTCCTTGGCACACAATATTGATACTCAAAAATGTTAGTTGATTCCAAATAAATGATCTTTACACAGAAGAATTTAATTGTGATAGAATTTTAAAACTAATTTTAAAAGTAATCTGAACACAGCCTGCAGTGTGCCTTCATTGTTAAATATCTGTTAGATTTTCCTCCATGTTGAAAGCATTTTAGTCAATGTCATATCTCACAATAACTGGACAGTTTCGATTCATGCTTTATTGCATGATCTGAAGACCTGCTATTTGGGATAGAGTAAAACCAAGTCTCTGAATAGGACTTATCCAAGGAAAGAATTGTTGAAGAAAATCAACACCTCAAATATCTTCTTTTTATGTGATGTTAATAAAACCCACCTTAAACTTGTTCTTATCAAAGGTAGCAGACTGAAAACACTTCAATTTCCCAAAGGCAGAGTTTGATCTTTATCTGACTTCTGATCAGCTCTTTGAAGTCTCAAGAGCATTCTCTGCCCTGACCAGCCTCCTTTAAACTGACTTAAATTTGCTGTCCATATTGGCATCTAGATACATCTAAAGAATGACAGAATGGATGTCCCTGAATGCTTTCTTTTATTCTGTAAACTTTCATCTAAGCCCATATCTTTTCTATTAATTAAAACAATTCATTGATGTGTTCAAGCATGAGCATATAAATTGGGAGGGTCTTGCACAGTTTGAGCTGTATCTCTAAAGACCTTTTTATTAGTCAGAATTGTATTGCTCTTGACCCAAAGACTCAAATTTCAGGAAGCACATGATGAAAAGGAGTTACTGTATCTGTAGAAGCTGTTTCATTAAAGAAAGGAAGAACTTTTAAAAAAGCATAAAATAGAGTGAATAAAATTGAAAACAAAATCAGCATAAATAAGTGTATTTATCTTTTTATGGAAGGAAGACTCTAGGCATTTCCCCTTGGAGTATAAAACATGCCCAGCTCTGTAAACAATCTCTTCTGACCAAGCAACCTGGCAAAGGTCACCAAGCCCAGCTTTGAATACCCTATCCATATTTTGTCAAATGGCTGGGTGTCCTGTATTATTGTT